ATGGTTTACTCGCAAAAGCTTGCAAAAGCAGTAGCAATGTAAACAAAAACAATGCAAAAGTGCCTCCATATTTCGACCGCCAGCCCCGGAACGACCATCGGCAAGCCTGTCGATCCACAATTTACATTCTCCTCCTTGTACGTTCCAGACGATTTTGAAACTTCACAACGTTGAGGGAGACAAATATTGGGAAATGAATCCTGAACTTTTGGCTCCCCAGACGCGGTAACCATTTCACTATCGACGCTCCGCGCCCGTCCTTCCTGTCAGGGCGAGAGACCGGCGACACCATTTAGCCCCAGCAGCTGAGTGTGTCGCAAAGGTCAAGTAGAGAACCGGCCACGAACATTGCTGAAACACTCTAACGGAATGCAACAAATGCAGGGAACTGGTAAAGCTTCCTAACTTTGGTCGCTTTACAAACCCGTCAAGAGCCCGTATTGGAAGTCCCAGATCCCGAGTCCACCCATCCAGCCTAGACTTCTGACATCACCGACATCGCTGTGCCGCTCCGCGTCCGAAGTGCACTGACCGGGCTTGTATTCGGCCCACTCCGTCTCCTTGACGATCCTGTGGTCCTCGTAGTCGACCCCCTTCAGCGCTAGTATCCAACGCACCGGTTCGGCGCGGCCGGCCGACATGAAGTACAGCAGCCGCAGCTCAGCCTTATCCTGCGTCATGGCGTCGGCCTGCGCCGGAGGTGCGTCTTCCATCGCTCCCCGCCGGCGACTGAGGCGCCAGCACCGGCGGCCGGGCGCCAGCTGCCGGCCAGCCGAGCGCCGACGCCGCCAGCCACTTGCCCGGCAGCCCTGAGTCAGCTAACAACGGTCAGCTGCCGGCCAAATGAGCTGGGCACCATTTGTCACGTGTATTTGCGCCACCCGACGACAGACACGGAGACACCGCTGAGGGCAGCCTCACGCGGGCTGAGGTTGTCTCCGCCTCCGTCCCCTTACGTCACAGAACGTTTGTAGCCGATCACAGGCCACGCAGCGAGCTCCAGCTAATCCGCCGCCTACAGCGTGGTCGGAGTCTGCCCCGCCGCCGCTGCCGCAGGGCGACACCGTATCACTGTCGGGGGCGACAGTCCCGCGCATGCGCAGACACCGGCCGCTGCCGGCTGGAATGGTGAAGCGCCGCAGCGCCGGGGCCGAGGGCGGGCACCGCCGGCGGCCGGGGCACACGCCCGCCAGCCGCTCCAGGCGCCGCCGCCTAGCACTGCACGCGAGTCGAACGGGGTCAGACGGCGATCCGGCGCCAAGGTCAGCAACATGCCGCCGTCGGCCGACCGCGCAGCAGAATCGCTGGAATCGCGCTAGGTTCAGCGTGCTAAACGGCCCCGGCTGGCCGCGTGGTCGCGGAGCACAGCGTTGGCGGCGCCAACAGAATACAGTTCCCACACGCGACCTCGCATCCGGTCCTCACACTCATCCGTTATGCATTGCGTTGCGTCGGCAGGAACTATAACAGCTCAGCAACACACCCGCTCAACAACGGTTCGCCAGTTTTGTCGTACCTAGGTATAAATACGCGTCAGCCAACTGACTGGCAGGCTTCTAAACGCCTCGGCTGCTGTGGCATTCCCTCATATGCGGTCTCCTTTCGCATGCGATCACGCCCAAAGCGAGTGTCCTGCTACGGGCCTACCCTTTTGTTTTTTTTATTGATCCTCAGTGCTCATGCTTAGCATGCCCTTCACCCCGCCCCTCCCACGGTCAGCCGCGCTCGGACCCCCTCCTCCGTGGCCACACCCACCACAACCGGCAGCCCGCCGCCCGCCGCCACCGGGGATCACACAGCTTGACGGCCGCGGGCCAGCGGGAGGGCGCGCGGCCGGCGCCGCGCCGGGCGACACGGTTGAGCATCTCACTATCACACGGGCCGGCCGGGCGGCGCGCGCGCCGCTACACCTCGGCCCGCCATCACAACTCGTCACGGCGCGTCGACTCGGGCTCGGCGCCGACGTCGGCCGCCGTCCGCGGCTGAGGCCGCCCGGCGCCGCCGCCGGCCGCACCGTCGTCGGTCAGCCCGCCGGCCTGCAGCAGGCCGCCCAGACCGCCGCCTCCGGCGCCCAGCAGCGCACGCAGCCGCGCCGCCGGCGACGGCCGGTCGGCGGCGGCGCCCTCCTCGCCGGCGTCGGCGGTCAGACGGCCCTGCAGGTGCGCCAGCCGCTCGGGCGCCAGTGCCGCTACGTCGTCCATCAGCGACCCGTACTCGGGCCCGGCCAGCGCCGCCAGCTCCGCCTCCGTCATGTGCAGCAGCTGCCGCAGCCAGGCGCGCACCTGGCCGGTCAGACGCCAGGTCAGGGGCCGCCGTAGACGGCCACGGCCGCAGGCCAGGTCCAAACGCGTCGTGCGACGGTGAAGTCAATGCCGTGTGGCGCGCTTCGACATTTCAGGTCGCAGGTCAGACACAATCACGCACCAGGGTCAGCCAAGGTAGGCACAAAGAGACAAGGTATACGTCCTAAGGTCAGATAAGGTAGACATAAGGTCAGATGATGGGCAGATATAAGGTGATACAAGGGCTATACACGAGGTAGATAGGGGGTAGGCATAATGCCCAACAAGGAAGACACAGCCACACAAAGGTCAGCCATTATGCCACACAAGATAGACGCAGGGTCAGATTAGGTAGACTAAAGTCAGGAAAAGTAGACACAGGATAAGATGGAGTGACGTAAGGCCATTTGACACAGAGCCTGCGAACAAAGGCAGTGTACCATGACGGAGCGCGAGAGCACGCGATCACGAGAAGCGTAGGAACCATCGAGGCCAAACACACACGTGATCAAGTAAAATGGGTAGGTCATATCAAAACCTGTCCAACAAGACGAGGTAGGTGAGACAAGAGGTAAATTACTGCATGGAGCGTTCTTCTTAGTCCGGGACGCGGGAGTGCTGCACAGGAACAGTGGCTGTTGCCCTCACCTGAGCCATGGCCTCCCTCTTCTGGGCGTCGGTCGGCGGCGGCGCCTCGTCCTCTGCCGCTGCCGGGGCCGGGCTGTCGTCCACCAGCTGTACCAGCTCGTCACCGCTGGGGGCGACGGCCACCACGCGACCCACGCCCGGGGCGCGCTCTGCCGGCCACAGGTCACCGGTCAGGTCACTGATGTCAAGGTCAGGTCAGCGTCGCAGGTCACGGCCACCACGCGACCCACGCCCGGAGCGGCTCCGCCGGCCACTCGTCAGGTCGCCGCTTCAAGTCAAGGTCGGGCAAGTCAGTGGTCAGGATGACCAAAGATCACGATCGTGTGGTCAGGCGGCGGTCAGGTCAAGGTCATCGGTCAGGTCATGACTGCAGGATGGCGGCATAACTACCGGGCCCGACTCCATCCGCGGCCAACTCATGAGCGGATGGGCAGACCCGTGCACCACCCTGCACCGTCCGTCCTGGTCCCACTCCCCGACCGAGAGCTCCCCACAGCCCAGCGCGGTCACCCGCAGCCGGCAACCCGTCTAGCTCTGCGCTAGCGTCCGGAAAAACCACCTCCATGGCGCGTATCCCACAGTATCCCATGCCCCAGCTCCGCGTGCGGACGAACCGACCTGAGTTCGGCGACGGCGGCGGCGCGTCTGACAGCGTCACCTCCAGGTCGGGCTGGCGACGCAGCGCCGACCGCAGCTGCTCACCCTCGGCGCTGAACAGGAACACCAGCGGGATGGTGACGTCATCCGTACCGTCGCCTGCCGACCCCAGGGCGAGGTCACCACCACTGACATAGTGAACACGGGTGAGCCGGTCATCACCACTGGCATGATGAACACGGGAGAGCCGGTCACCACCACTGATACGGTGAACACGGGTGAGCTGGTCATCACCACTGGCATGGTGAACACGAGTGAGCTGGTCATCACCACTGACATGGTGAACACGGGCGAGCCGGTCACCACCACTGACATGGTGAACACAAGTGAGGCAGCTACCACCACTGATATGGTGAACACGGGTGAGCCGGTCACCACCACTGACATGGTGAACACGGGTCAGCTGGTCATCACCACTGGCATGGTGAACACAGGTGAGCTGGTCATCACCACTGGCATGACGAACACGGGCGAGCCGGTCACCACCACTGATACGGTGAACACGGGTGAGCTGGTCATCACCACTGGCATGGTGAACACGAGTGAGCTGGTCATCGCCACTGGCATGAACACGGGTGAGCTGGTCATCACCACTGGCATGATGAACACGGGCGAGCCGGTCACCACCACTGATATGGTAAACTCGGGTGAGCCGGTCACCACCACTGACCAGACATGGCGAACATGGGCGAGCTCTCGGCGCCGGTGCCGGTCGTGCTGTCGACCACGATGCCGCCGCGGGCCCCCAGCGCCTGCACGCGGCGCGCCTTGTCCACGAACATACAGTCGCCGCGCTCCATCAGCACGATGCGGTCGCGGTAGAGCTCGGGCCGCAGCAGGTCCGGACAGACGCGCGGCGGGTTGGCCAACACCAGTCGGCCCGTCACCTGACGCACAGCCGTCAGACGGCGGTAAGACAGGGCTCAGGCGGCGGTGAGACAGGGCTCAGGCGGCAGTGAGACAGGGCTCAGACGGCGGTGAGACAGGGCTCAGGCGGCGGTAAGACAGGGCTCAGACGGCGGAGAGACAGGGCTCAGACGGCGGTGAGACAGGGCTCAGACGGCGGTGAGACAGGGCTCAGACGGCGTGAGAGACAGGGCTCAGCGGCGGTGAGACAGGGCTCAGGCGGCGTGAGACAGGGCTCAGACGGCGGTGAGACAGGGCTCAGCGGCGGTGAGACAGGGCTCAGGCGGCGGTGAGACAGGGCTCAGACGGCGGTGAGACAGGGCTCAGGCGGCGGTGAGACAGGGCTCAGACGGCGGAGAGACAGGGCTCAGACGGCGGTGAGACAGGGCTCAGACGGCGGTGAGACAGGGCTCAGACGGCGGTGAGACAGGGCTCAGGCGGCGGTGAGACAGGGCTCAGACGGCGGAGAGACAGGGCTCAGGCGGCGGTGAGACAGGGCTCAGACGGCGGTGAGACAGGGCTCAGACGGCGGTGAGACAGGGCTCAGACGGCGGTGAGACAGGGCTGACGGCGGTGAGCCAGGGCTCGGCGGGGTGAGACAGGGCTCAGACGGCGGTGAGACAGGGCTCAGACGGCGGTGAGACAGGGCTGACGGCGGTGAGACAGGGCTCAGACGGCGGTGAGCCAGGGCTCAGACGGCGGTGAGACAAGGCTCAGACGGCGGTGAGACAGGGCTCAGACGGCGGTGAGCCAGGGCTCAGACGGCGGTGAGCCAGGGCTCAGACGGCGGAGAGACAGGGCTCAGACGGCGGAGAGACAGGGCTCAGGCGGCGGTGAGACAGGGCTCAGACGGCGGTGAGACAGGGCTCAGGCGGCGGTGAGACAGGGCTCAGACGGCGGTGAGACAGGGCTCAGACGGCGGTGAGACAGGGCTCAGACGGCGGAGAGACAGGGCTCAGACGGCGGTGAGACAGGGCTCAGACGGCGGTGAGACAGGGCTCAGACGGCGGAGAGACAGGGCTCAGACGGCGGTGAGACAGGGCTCAGACGGCGGTGAGACAGGGCTCAGGGGGCGGCCAGGCCGGCGTCTAGGTTCACCACCTAGTATACCGTGGTTGCATTGTCTGTGGGGCTTTACGACGTACTCAGCTGCTGAGGCTATAAGGCGACGCCTAAGTCTCACCTAGGAAGGGCGGGTACCGCGGTGAATAAGGCCCTGCCCCTGTAGTTTGTCAAGCGCGCAGCTTCACCGCCACACCATCGGTACCCCAGAGGGGTCCCATCAGGTGAGCCAGGGGCCAGTAGGTCTGATGTGGTAACAGCCAGGTCGCACGGGATCAGCACTGAGGTCACGCCCAGTCAGAGCGGGGTAAAGGTCATCAGAGCCGCGGTGGCGAGTGGAAAGCAGGTCCGTAGGTCCGTCAGCAAGCGAAGGGATACACTTGGTTGATGAGCACGTTATAAACACCATACCAAAACAATGAACGGCGCTGACATTTAATACACAGGTGACATACAAAAGATATGCGAGCGAGTTCAGTCCTTTCCTGCAGCGGTGGAGTGCCGGGCAGGCAGCAGCATACCCAAACCACGGGCGGGTGTGACCGGTGAGTTCGGGTGGCGTGGTGTGCTAAAGCTCGGTGTAGAACGGACACGGCCGACAGCCAATGAACAATGTAAAACGGACAATCTCAGGTAAATCGGGTTCAAAAGCCGCAAACGAGCTGAGCACAAACATCCTGTTATGGTTGTGCTATAGCATACAACACCTCACATCACAGGCCGGCACTCTCTCCAGTCAGATTAGGCGGCGGGCCCAATGTTTGGGGCTCTGCGAGAACGAGACGGGGTCGGTGGGCGGCGAGCGGGGTTACGCACGGGTGGCACGGCGCCCAGGCTGGGGCCGAAGTGGGCCGGGCCGGCCTGTAGCGTGATGGCGGTGCCGCCGCCAGCCGGCCGGTAGCTGACAGCGCGCGGCGGGTTCTCCGGCTGCTCCAGCTGCTGCCGCGACAGCTCGATCATCTCCTGCATAAACAGCAGGCCCTCCTCCGCGTCCGCCGGCGAGCGCGCCTGCCGCAGCGGTCAGCCCAGGTCAGGTCAGGTCAGTCAGGTCAGGGCACGTCAGATCAGGACAGAACAGGTCACATCATGCCAGCGCACATCAGGTCAGGTCAGGTGATGCCAGCTCGGGTCAGGTCAGGTCAGGACAGCTCGGTTCAGGTAAGGCCAGGCCAGCTTAGATCAGAAAAGGTCAGGCCAGATCAGGTCAGGTCAGGTCAGGTCAGGTCATGTCAGGTCAAATCAGGCCAGGCCAGGCCAGGCCAGGTCGGGTCAGGACAGTACCCCGCGTCGTTATCAAGTAACAGAGGGGGGCGGCACGGCTCGCGAGAGGCGCTGCCCCCTCGCATCACTGAGATCCGAACACACCAGGGGCCGATCATCGTCCGACGCCGCAGGGAGCGCGGCGACAGGTGCGCCCGCGGTCACTACTGAAGCGCTGAACGCTGCATCACCCAGTCACCAGCAGAGCAACGGCACAGCGGGCAGCTGGCCAGGGAAAACGGACAAACAAGGTTCCCAGTCACCATTCGCCGCAGCGGTGGCGTTGTGCGCACACTCCGTTCTCAGGATAGGATGTCCGTATTCATACGCGTCGTCCGCATTACCACCCATCTCCCGACACCAGACACTGGTCGCTTCAGAGACCACCCGACAGGTGCGTTAAGTGTCTTCAAGCCTCATGAGCACCAAACAGCTTAAGAGGATCTAGCAGTGACTCCGCCCGCCACGGAGTCTGGCCGCTCACATCCCGCAGTTCCCGAGATCTGGGCGTTTGGCCCCACCCTCCCCGGACCACGCTGCTCTTACCCCAGCCCCGGGCCGGACCTCCGGCCGGCGCCTTACGTTGGCGGCCGTGTGCAGCAGCTGGACGCGGCCGTCGGACAGCGTCGTCATGGTGACGCCCAGTTGGCGGACCAGCGCAACGTGCTCGGGCCGGCCCGACTGGAACTGGGCGGCGGTGAGCCGGCGCGGCCGCAGCCGTCGGCTCGGACACGTGCCCTCCACCAGGTTGGAGAGCGGCCGGCGCACAGTCTCCGAGAACGTTCCCGGGAACAGGTAGTCGGTGTTGGGGCAGCTGCGTGCGAACTCCACGTCCGGCTCCGGCGGCGGCGCCGAGCCCTCCCGGCGCAGCTGCCGACGGGAGGGCGGGGCGGCGTCAGGGGAAGGCGTCGCCGTCCGTGTGGAGCGTCTCACGCTCATCAAGCTGCGGTGCAGGGGTGCAGCCCACGCGGAGAAACAGGAGGATCATATCACTAGCGCGGTGCAGGGCTCACTGACACAAAGACTGTGCCGAGCCCGGTCTTTTCAAAGCGCTGGCGACACGTTTCGCTGCTCTACAATCGGCAGTAACGCGAAATAACACTGGCACAGGTCACCTGATTCGCACATCTTTCTGGACACACCCAACAGCCGCTCGCCTGAACACGCCTCATACAGGCCACCACCACCCAGGCGACATGCGCTCTCTTCCTGAGTTTGACCGCTTCAGCGGCACGCCCGTCCCCTGAGTGGCACCTCTGCGCCTCCGCCCCGCCACCCTCGCGGCAGCGGCCGTAGTCGTACCGGCACCGCCGTCAGGTTGGAGAGCCGCGCCAGCGTCAGCGGGAACAGGTGCGCCTCCGTGCTGAAGATGAAGTCGTCGATGTCCAGCACCAGATCGGCGTCGTCGGCGAACAGCAGGTACAGGTACTTGAACGTCTCGGCCAGCACGAACGAGTCGAGCCTGGCGTTGGGGACAGCGGCGGTCGTCAGAGGGATCCCCAGCAGCCGCGCCAGGTCGGCAGTGCTCAGAAGACGCCCCCAGTGTCACCCAGCGACGGCTGTCAGAGGGATCCCCAGCAGCCGCGCCAGGTCGGCGCCGGTCAGAAGCCCTCCCAGTGACACCCAGCGACGGTCGTCAGAGGGATCCCCAGCAGCCGCGCCAGGTCGGCAGTGCTCAGAAGACCCCCCAGTGTCACCCAGCGGACGGTCGTCAGAGGGATCCCCAGCAGCCGCGCCAGGTCGGCAGTGCTCAAAGACGCCCCCCAGTGTCACCCAGCGGCGGCTGTCAGAGGGATCCCCAGCAGCCGCGCCAGGTCGGCGCCGGTCAGAAGCCCTCCCAGTGTCACCCAGCGACGGTCGTCAGAGGGATCCCCAGCAGCCGCGCCAGGTCGGCAGTGCTCAGAAGACGCCCCCAGTGTCACCCAGCGACGGTCGTCAGAGGGATCCCCAGCAGCCGCGCCAGGTCGGCAGTGCTCAGAAGACGCTCCCAGTGTCACCCAGCGGCGGCTGTCAGAGGGATCCCCAGCAGCCTCGCCAGGTCGGCGCCGGTCAGAAGCCCTCCCAGTGTCACCCAGCGGCGGCCGTCAGAGGGATCCCCAGCAGCCGCGCCCGATCGGCGCCGGTCAGAAGCCCTCCCAGTGCCACCTAGCGACAGCCGCCCTCTCCCTGGGCTGTAAGATCACGCGTATGTCCTGAGCATCTATGGCGTGATCACGGGATGCAATGACGCCTGATTTTAACAGCGCAACACGCCAAGCAAACTTTCGTAAAATCTAATCTGACTTCGTTTTTTTAATCGAAAAACCATGCAACCGGCAATGTCATGCATACAACGCATGTTTATATCGCATTAAATACTGCCAATTCTTATTTCTTTTTGTTAAATCAACATCGCCCATTTCTATCTAGCACATCATCCACCCAGAAAATAAGTTTTTTCAAGTCTTCACAGCCCAGCAATGACAATAGACCTGACGCTGTCGTTGCTTTATGACTACGTAGAACGTTGTGCCGATTATATTATTGGTAAGACAAAATACTGCGCGACTATAAACCGCTGAAGAGCGCTGCATTCATGATTTTGTTAACCCTAAACACGGACGCGAAGTCCGCGGCAGATGAAACCACGCCTTTAACACAGAGGTGCCCTGGCTGTGACCCAACAACGTCCCGCGCCGCCGGCGAGAGCGCGCGGGCCGCGCGTGTCCGGTGATTACGCAGGTGTCACACGGCGGCCACTTCCCGGCCATTATATCATGAGACGCGTGGCACCAACAGCTGGCCTGACCGGAGGCAAGCGAGACCAGCGGCAGGGTCGGGCGGGTTCGATGACGTGCACAGCCGGCCGGCCCAGCCCTGGGGCACAGGTGTCCCACAAGAACGGGTCGGGCGGGTTCGATGACGTGCACAGCGCCGGCCAGCCGGGGAACAGGTTGCACCACAAAACGGGTCGGGCGGGTTCGATGACGTGCGCAGCCGGCCGGCCCAGCCCTGGGGCACAGGTGTCCCACAAGAACGGGTCGGGCGGGTTCGATGACGTGCACAGCCGGCCGGCCCAGCCCTGGGGCACAGGTGTCCCACAAGAACGGTCGGGGGTCGATGAAAACTATTATGATGCAGCGGCCGGCCAGCCTGGGCACAGTGTCCCAAAGGTGGGCGGTTATGACGGCGAGCCGCCGGCCAGCCTGGGGCAGGTGTCCCACAAGAACGGGTCGGGCGGGTTCGATGACGTGCACAGCCGGCCGGTATATCCATACATACAAGTAAAATAAATAAATAAATACTATTATATATATATATATATATATATATATATATATATATATACAAATAGATTGTTATTTTATAAACGAATAAATAAAACTAATAGCTGAATAAATACAATTGCAAATTTATACAAATGAATACATAAATATCCAAATCAGCAGGCGAATTCCCTGCCATTCGCTCGAGTTTTAGCATACAACCGACAACTTTTTGGTGCGTCTTACAGAGCTTATCGCACAACCACCCGCCCCCCCCCCCCCCACCCAAACGACCATGACGCGTCGCCCCTGCTCCGATATACACCACTTGTCTCCTAACCCCGACCCCGTTTGCACCTCCCAGCGCTGCTGTCACACCTACGCCACAATTCCGCCCTCTGGTTTCCTCGACCTGACAGCCAATTTGACCTCAATCCGGCGTACCCTGTCAAAACCGCTGCCCTGTCCCGTCCTATCCGGACCTGTTCACCCCAGGCCTGTTCCCTCCCCCCCCCCCCCCGTTTCACGCCTGCACCCTCCCTCTTTTCCGTCCCACATGGCCGGATCGTGACTTCTCCTCGTACTAGCTAGTATACACATGCTTACCTGTCCTCACACGTACACACACCTGCTCACCTGTCCTCACTTCGGCCGGTGCACATGTGCTCACCTGTCCTCGCTCCGGCCGGTACACACGTGCTCACCTGTCCTCGTGCTGGCCCGTGCGCACGTCCTTGACGGCGGCGAACCCGCACGGCACCCAGGCGTGGCGCCGCAGACTCTGCAGCACCCGCTTGCCGGCGTGCAGATAGTACGGGTCGCCGGTGGCGCGGTGCAGCAGGTAGGTGGACTCCAGGAACTCGGGCCGCAGCGGGTGCTGGCCCCAGTGTACCTGCCGAGGCCGGCCGGGTGAGGCAAGCCCGGGCGGGTGAGGAGAGCCCGGGCGGGTGAGGAGAGCTCGGGCGGGTGAGGAGAGCTCGGGCGGGTGAGGGGAGCTCGGGCGGGCGAGGGGAGCTCGGGCGGGTGAGGAGAGCCCGGGCGGGTGAGGGGAGCGCGGGCGGGCGAGGGGAGCGCGGGCGGGTGAGGGGAGCGCGGGCGGGCGAGGGGAGCTCGGGCGGGCGAGGGGAGCTCGGGCGGGCGAGGGGAGCGCGGGCGGGTGAGGAGAGCCCGGGCGGGTGAGGGGAGCCCGGGCGGGTGAGGAGAGCTCGGGCGGGTGAGGAGAGCTCGGGCGGGCGAGGGGAGCGCGGGCGGGTGAGGAGAGCTCGGGCGGGTGAGGGGAGCTCGGGCGGGTGAGGAGAGCCCGGGCGGGTGAGGAGAGCCCGGGCGGGTGAGGGGAGCCCGGGCGGGTGAGGAGAGCTCGGGCGGGTAACGGGAGTCCGGGCGGGTGAGGGGAGCCCGGGCGGGTGAGGGGAGCCCGGGCGGGTGAGGAGAGCCCGAGCGGGTGAGGGGAGCCCGGGCGGGTAACGGGAGCCCGGGCGGCAGCACGCGCCACGCCCCGCTGTCCGCTCTGGTCGGCTACTCCGGCGAAGCGTTCAGGACGATGCTGGGTTGTGTCCCCGGCTCTGCGCGTACGGTGCCATCATCTGGCAACTTGTCGTTTCGAAACGAAGACGCATAGGGTCACGGATAGTCAGCGGCGAGACGGCCGACGTCTCGGATTAAGTCTTCTTTGGGAATGATAGTGAGTGCCAATTACCCGGCCTAACAGTGCAGCGCGAGAACGGACAACTCGAAGACAACTAACTCCACGACAACGCTAACGGACAGCCCTGGCACATTCGGAAGCACTCTTTATTAAACTAGTACACTTATTTGCCATCGTGGTGTTAAGATGGATTAGCGTGGGACATTGGGATACCTCGCCGACAACTTAGCACCCGAAAAATACACAGTAGTCCATCTCAGGATTCAGGACCGTGCCAGTCTCTGCGGTGGGAGTGCGCGGCGCGCGGGCGGCCTGACAATGGAGCACGACGAGAGTATCGGCCCCCCCCCCCCCCTCATACATACACACAAAGAGAGGCCGCGGTGACGCCGCTCACCTGGAAGTCCGTGGTGAAGGCTTCGGGCAGGAAGTTGTGCCGCTGCATCACCTGGTACAGCATCTCGTGGGTCTCGATCGCCGACTTGAGGTCGCCCTTCAGCACCTGGACCGACGGCGCACCGGGAGATGTCACAACGCCAGCGATCGACGTACAGCGCGTGCAAAGGACGCCCGGCAAGCGAGGCTGAGTGGCTACTTGTGTCAGCGGACAGCTGTCGACAGCGGAGCAGATACGCTACTGCTGGCACACAAAGGTGCTACTTTCATCGCGCTGTTGATGTCCTCAGTAGCTTGAACACCACAAGTTAAGTACATATTGAATCAAAAGCTCCGATACGCCCCGACACAGACCAGCCTCGGCCTGCCCTGCGCCCGGACACGTCTGAGCCCGGGGGGATGCGCCGGCCGGGTACCGGGGCCCGGCGCGCGCGCCCCGGTCAGCGCGCCGTCCGACCTGCAGTCCCGGCCAGAAGGCCAGCAGCGAGTCCATGAAGTTGCGGGTGGTGGTGTGCGGCCGGTGCATGTGCACGTCCAGCAGCATCGGGCCCTGGCTGATGTACTTCATCACGGCCTCGTAGTGCCGGTTGAAGCGTTTCAGGTACCTGGGTCGCACAGGCCAGGCGCGTGGCGTGGTCACGAGCGGCGGCTGCGGCGCGCAGGCGTGCGCCCGTGAAGGACGGCGTCTGACGGACGGTGACCGACGGTCCCAATGACCGCCCACCATGATGTCAGAAGGACGCGCGCTTGAATGCGCTTGCGAGATACGCTGCGCTGGACGAGCGCGCAGACCGAACAACGGTCATCCCGCCGCCGCGGAATAGTTCACCAGCTCCGAGCCACAAAGGCTGGGTCTCTGGGCACCACGGTGACCTGGGAGTGTCAGCCCTAGCTTCGCGCTTGCGCTAGGTGTCACCCAAGCGTCTGGCGTGGGTGCCTATATCAAATGTCTAAGTGCGTAACGACCAGTCATATTCAGCTGAATATTCGTCATCGCATATTGCATATTGCCTGCCGAGTTTGAACAGCTTAGCTCAACAGGCTGCGTGAGAACTTCAGAGCTCTCCAGTGGCCGCTTCCAACCGGCAGACAGCGTGGCCTCTGACATCTATGTCTGCCCGCGAGGAAAGCGGCGATGCCGCATGTTGTGCCGCAAACCCATGCAAAATCTATCAGACGGCCACCACGCAGATTGTGGCGGCTTGCCCGCTGGCCAGAAAGTGTGCCACACTCCGCTGCCAGAAACAAAACACCCAGGCGAGGGGCTACAGCACATGTCGGACATGGACGTCGTGAGAGCATGTTAGAACTGTTTCGAAGGGGGCAGAATCAAATATCTTCATCGTCTCCCGCTGGTCCGTACTGCGAAGAGACGGCAGCCTAGGTTAAACCGCGACGATACGGCAGCCGCGGCTCGCAGCCTGACGCCTCCCGTCAGACACCGTGAACCTGCGCCATTAAATGCCACTACTTTGGAGTGATATTGAATTATTACTCCCCCTTCAACACCAATAGCCCCGCTTGACCAAATACCAGACGGCGAAATGCCCACCGAACGATAACTAATTATGTTTTTTTCGGGATAATCATGTAAGCAGCCGGCCTGTTCCGCAGGCGCCATGCCGGGCGAGCCCCACCTCTGTCCCGCCGAGCGCCCCGCCACAGCGCCGATGCACGACACGCCGGCGACAGGTACGAGCAGCCCGACGAGGCCCGTCACGATAAAGGTCAGTTGGTGCAGATCAACCGCGGACAGCACTGACGGCACGCAAATACACGGCAAGAAACATAATATTGTTAACCTGCTTCAGCATTTCGTGCTTGGAGCCGTGCTGATTAGAAAAACAGCGAGGATCGAAACACCTGTGCGATATTTACCATCCGGCTCAAATTCGCCAGCCACGGCGCCGGTAAGCCCCACCCCCCTCCCCCTCCCCACATCCGCTAGTAACGGGTCCGGTGACAGCTGTCAGAGCCCTCCCGTCTCATCCGGCTGAGTCCGGCGCGCGGCGGGTCCGGACCGCGCTGCCGCTGCCGCCGCCGTCCGGCACGCGCCGCCCGCGGCCGGCACCGTCACGGCGGTGGCGCCGCCCGCTGAACAGTGGGTTAAGCACGCGCGGTGTCGGCCGCTCGCTCGGTGACACGCCCCCTCGGCAGGGAGAGCCAGGTCAAGCTGATAGCCGTACAATGCAGATGTCGTATCTTCGTCGCACCTCACGGCGCAGGCCCTCACCGCTCGTCTCCCAGCAGGATGTAGGCCTTGAGGCAGTACTCGTAGTAGCTGTCGATGCCGGCGCCGACGCCCGAGTCTCGGCGCACCCAGTCGCCGGAGTGCACGTTGATAGTGGTGCCGACCAGGTCAGAGCCACGGTGCCGCTGCTCCCACAGGCTGTCCATCGCCCGGTGCGCCTTCTCCTGCGAACAAGCCGACCGCGGCTGGGTACGGCGCACGCGCGCACCGGTGGGGACACACAGAGAGCGCGACTTGCAATGTCATCTGGTGAAATTTATGATGAGTCAATTTCACGCCGGATGTCCTGATTCCGTTTCTTGATTGTCACTTCTCACTCGCAGTGCGAGCCCGTCCCACACAGCCATAGCAGAGCAAAGGTCCTTGTAATGCATCTGCAGATAATTCAGTCACTGATCCCTCCACGGCTGTGTCGCGGTCACTGACCCCTCCACGGTCGTGCCGTGATCACCGACCCCGCCACGCCTGCGAGGCGGTGACTGACCCCTTCACGGCTGTGTCGCGGTCGCGACCCCTCCACGACCGCGCGGCGGTGACTGACCCCTTCACGGCTGTGTCGCGGTCACTGACCCCTCCACGACCGCGCGGCGGTGGCTGAACCCTCCACAGCTGCTGTGCCGCGGTCACTGACCTCGAAGACGGGCTCGCCGGTGAGCCGGGCTAGCGCGGCGAACTCGAGGATCATGGTGCCGGCGCAGGCGGTGCACGTCTCCCGCGAGCCGGCCAGCTGCGGCACGTTCATGCCGTGCAGCAGATTGATCTACCGAACAGAGGAGGCGGCCGAGGTCAACCCGCGTGACAGGCGACGCTGGCCGCTGGCCGCTCGCCGGGAGATGGGGAGGGTGACGCGCAAGAGCGCGCGGGAGACCGAGCCTGGCTGTGACGTTGTGGCAGCTGAAGGAGCAGCCACGGAAGTTAAGTCGGGCAGTGCTCTGGCAGAGCCTCGTCATGGATCCTTGCATCCAAAAACGAAAGGTTCCTGAACGGCAAGTTGCATGTCAGAGGTGACGGGCGTAAGCTGGGTTACTGATGCGTGGACACAAATCTTGGCAAGGGAATGCATCGAGGTATCGGGCTTTGATACACTATCACCACCGTGATACTGAATTCTGAGTGAGTTCCAGGGGTCAGCTGACCTCATCACCGTCTGGACACCGGCGGCGAGGGCTTGGGGGAACCTCACCACACGCGGCGGCCCTCCCCGGATTGAGCGCGGCCTGTGAGCGGGACGATCGACACGCGTGCCTCAGTCCCGCATCTGGCCCACGCCATCGACCTACCATCGACCGGTGCGGCACACGCACTTGCCGCCCGCCGCACGGACCGAGGCCGACTCTGTCGCGTGCGCCACGCCCCGGCACAGCACAGGCGCCGCCACGGTCACGACGCTCGGCAGCGCGCCCGCCGTCATCAAGCCGGCGCTGCCCACACGCACGCCCACACGCACACCAACAAAGCGAGGATGCGGACCGACGGCAAGTTCTGCTGTTTGAAATCTGTTTTGAGTTGTTTGATGGACCGCTTTGGGTGCCGGGCACTGGCCAAGCGGCACTTGTTGTCTGTACCCCGAGCCCAACACCTGGGGCGGGCCGATACAGGCCACCAAATAACTTCGCTCTCAGGCACTCCCGCCGACACGACTGAGGAGCGTGTCACGAACTGTACTGTGCCGCGAAAGGACTGACTACGCACTGGCCGACCCTGCTAGGACAGCGACACAGTGACCTTTCTCTCGCAATCGAGTCAAACCATGCATCCGCTCCCGGGCCTGGAGCCCTGTACCACCGCATTACAGGTTTTAATTATTTCCCCCCGAACCAAGGGATTGACTGATCCTTACACAGCCTCCAGCTGCCAATAGTTTCAAATCAGTTAAACAGACCCCAGCGCTCGATTGCCTGTCCCGGGCCACACAACAAGACGGCCTCATGTTCATCCACCACCCATATCACCCGCGCACGAAGCCACAGCCTTCACGCCATAGACAAGGATCCCACCCTCCAGAGGATCGCCGGGAGCGAGGGTACTAACAGGGGGTAGGGGAGGGCTGGGTGAGGCCACTGCTTGGCAACAGTGCTGTACGCAACGGGTTGCGCAATGTTAATACAGCCGTACGCTTACTGCGTAACGGCACGCAGACACACCGGCCAGAGCGAAACACCGGTGGACGTACCCGAGGGTGCGGTATGCCGGTGGAGGAGCGGAACACCGGCGAACGTACCCGAGGGTGCAGTATGCCGTTGGAGGAGCGGAACACCGGTGAACGTACCCGAGGGTGCGGTATGCCGGTGGAGGAGCGAAACACCGGTGAACGTACCCGAGGGTGCGGTATGCCGGTGGAGGAGCGGAACACCGGTGAACGTACCCGAGGGTGCGGTATGCCGGTGGAGGAGCGAAACACCGGCGAACGTACCCGAGGGTGCGGTATGCCGGTGGAGGAGTGAAACACCGGCGAACGTACCCGAGGATGCGGTATGCCGGTGGAGGAGCGGAACACCGGTGAACGTACCCGAGGGTGCGGTATGCCCGTGGAGGAGCGAAACACCGGCGAACGTACCCGAGGGTGCGGTATGCCGGTGGAGGTGTTGAAGGCGGGCAGCAGCCGGAGGCCCAGCTCCCTGGCGCGCTGCAGCAGCTCGCCCTGGTACCAGGTCATCCGGCCGAGTCGGTCCCGCACGTACTCGGACAGAATGTGACCGGAGAGCAGACCCCTGCCGGTCGAAACAGCACTCACCACGCTACCGAGCACAGCAGCGTCACTCTACCAGATCCATCATCACCACTGTACCGGGCGCAACATCATTACGGTACCGGGCACAGCATCACTACAGTACCGGACACAGCATCATCACGCTACCGGGCACAGCAACACTGTACCGGACACAACACCATCATGGTACCAGATATAGCATCATCACGGTACTAGACACGGCTTCATCACTGCACGAGACACACCATCATCACGGTACCAGACCCAGTATCATCGCTGTACCGGACACAATGATTGATACCAACCCCGCGGGATAGCAGCGGATTGAAGGCACTATCAAGACAGGGGTCGGTAAATCGCCCCACACCTATTCCGGCGCATAGCTATTGATCCTTCTTCAGCACCCACGTGGATCGATACGCCACGATGGCTTTCACCATGCGGGTACTTAGCACGACATATTCGGTTCTGTATGCCATTCTCAAATATGGCCCTGATTAAAGCACTCATCGCACTCAACCGCACCGAGCAACAGAATGCCTATGTCAGGAACGCCAAACGTACGGAAAGGGCGGCTACATTGATTTGAACTAACGTGCGCTGACGCACGACTCAAAACAGCCATGGGAGCCACTAGAACAAAAACTTGAACTCAAGCCATGTCAGTCTCAGCTGCATCATATGGTTGACATGTCAGGTAGTGAAACATGGTCAAGTCCCGTCCGCCGTCTTCATGGGATGGGGTGGGGGTGGGGGACTGGCTCCTTCTAAGGCGAGAGTTTAGCACTCCGGCGCCCGCAGCACCACACCCCCGGCTCTGACACGTATCGGCAGGCACCAGTCCGGCAGGCCGCCCGGCAGCCCCCGAGAGCAGGGTCACCGAGGTCACAGCTGCCGCGCGCCGGAGCACGTGGCACGCGGCGCCCAGTCGCCTACGTACCCGAGCATGCGTATGTTAGTCTCGAACACGGAGACGACCAGGTCGGCATCCAGCTTCACATCACGCAGCACGAGGCGGACGGCCCGCTCAAACTCGTCCAGCTCGCCAAGAACCTGCCCGGGTCAGGTCAGGTCAGGTCAGGTCGGACAAACGCCGGGCGCCTGGCCCCTTGATGCATACTACCATTATTTTCGGCTTGAGTTTACCATGTTTACTTTCCTCTTGCTTTCTGCGGTGACTTTGTCGGCTAGGTCTCTAGGTCTCGGCTACACAGTCTAGGTCTCCTGAACAGCCCTCTGCACTCCGGTAGCTTTATTATACCCCACCGTGCAAGAGCAGAGTTCAGACCGCTTTACCCTACCGTGCGACAACAGAGTTTAGACCGCTATGCCCAACTGCGCGACAAGAGTTTAGACCTCTACACCAAAGGCTCGTCAAAATAAGCATTACATAAGCGATAAATCCCACCACGTACGCCACGGACCGATACTGAGGGTACTCAGAGAGGATGGCGGCCAAGGGCGCAGTGCGCGACCCCACAGCATCTGCCGGCGTCACACGACCCAAACGGTGGCCAGATCACGGCAGCGGCCGGTTTGGCTGCTGGGGCGCGACGGCGGCACTCACCACCAGGCTGTCCAGTGAATCCACCAGCGTCAGCGAGAAGCTGAAATATCGGTCATGGGGTGAACACGCCAGCCAGCATGGCATCAAGTCACACTGGAGCGCTGCGTAAAACACGGCGGGGCCCGGTCCGGCAACTGCGCGTGGAGACGCGGCCGCTTATCTGAATCAATGGTGGCACGGAAAGTCGAGCAGAGCTGTGTTGCCATCCGAAAACTGACTGCTACCGATTCACGTTACGTAAACGTTGAGCTATTTTAAAGTTAGAATGCTACAATTTCAATGGCGACCATTGTAAACATTATCTGAAATGTGTGGTGTATTGGCGGAGCGTTCACCTCTTCACAATTAGGCATCATGTTCTGTTTCGCACTGCATTGACCGGCACGCCACACGACGGCCACCAATTACGTCTACCCACGTTCATGTTGCGGTGCGTGAACCCCTACGATGCTTAGCGAACAGAGGCGGTCCTCCTCCCTTGAATAATCCTACACCAGACAGACGGATAGTTCGCGAAATAAATAAGCCGGGGCAGCTACATCAAAAGTGAACAACTGCTCCCCTGTCCAAACCCGTCTCTCCCCTGTTCACTGCCGTTCACTGAATCAAGCACCTACCCTTCTTCCCTCATTATCCTGTGCCCTGGGTCCTCACGACGCCCCGTTTATCCGGTTTCCGAGCACACAACCAGACTGGTAGCCTTGTGCGGGCGAAGCTTCGGCGGAGGCCCCTACTCACCACGGTGAATGCAGGTGTACCTGTCAGCACCGACTCTCCTTCATTCCATAGCCCTATAATGACCATTCCAGACCGAAAGGGCTCTTACCAAAACCACACAAAAGACGCTGAACCAGGCACCCCCATCTACGGAGGGGGTGCAAAATGCCTTTGACAGTCGGCGCGGCCCTAGAACCCAATCATAATCACCCCACCTCCCGAGGAGTCCCCCTCCCAGCAGAGCCGGCTTCACTCACTTGCCGAGCGCCTCGTCGATGTCTCCGCGTCCGGGCAGCGTGTGCCGCCACCGGCCGCGGCACGACAGCGGCATCAGCTCGTCGGCCGGGTAAGCGTTCTCCTGCAACAGCGAGGCGCCGCCGCACCGGTCACACCGCCCACAGCGCCCACACCGCCTACACCGACCGCGCTGGACGCACCGGCCACACCGACCACACCGCCTACACCGGCCACACCGGCTGCACAGCCCACACCGGCCACACCGCCTACACCGGCCGCGATGGACGCACCGCCTACACCGGCCACACCGCCCACACCGGCCGCGATGGACGCACCGCCTACACTGCCTACGCCGGCCACACCGCCTACACCGGCCGCGATTGACGCACCGCCTACACCGGCCACACCGCCCACACCGGCCGCACCGCCTTCACCGACCGCGCCGATCGGGACATGAAGCCCGATCGCAGCTCAGCTTCAGTGCGCCTGTCGTGTGGACGAAGGCAACATTGTAACTGCTTCGGCCACTAGCCTGCGAATGTATGAACGCGTGGCGTGACGTGATGGGTCCATAGCACGGCGTCGGCGTGCAAGGGTGTCCTGCAGAAACAATGCAATGTAGCTTGATGGCCAGCATGTCAAGCAAAAGCCAAAGAGAAGTGTACATATGGGTAGCGTCCCAAATACCGGGTTCACGAAGCTAGAGTCTGCTGGTATATTGGTAACTGACTAGCTGTTATGAAAGCAGGTCATTGCGTAGGCCATTAAAATCTGTGTGCGTGAAAATGTCCAGGTGACGTGACATTGCAATGTTGAGTCATGCCAACAGTCAATTCCCTAGAGAATTTCACAGCAGAGGATGCTTATCACAAAGGAGAACATTTGGCTCATTTATTACAACCGAAAACCAGTCACCACTAGGTCCCAAATTTACACGGTTCTTTTCACATGAAGACTGAAGACGAGCACATCGTGTATGCAAAACGAAAATTACTTTTGACATTATGCAGCACCATTGTTTAATTCTTAGTATATGCATATGTCCCTCTCACATGCAAATAAATCAAATTCACAACAATTTCTGAGCCTTGCATTACATCTCCTTACCATGTATGCCCCATATGCATGGAAGAACATTTCCTTGGCAGTATCCCTGCAACAGAAATATTCATTATTAAAGGAGCTGAACATGCTGAAGCAGCTGCCTAATGAAAACAGGTGGCTAACTTATTGTATCATGTTGATGATAACCTGTCATGCATACTCATAAAAATTCATCTAAAATATGACAAATCTCAAATCAGCACACCCAATGTATGCAGGTCACAGCTGAGAAATCACTAGAAAACATGAAAAGTTCAACTATTTCATTGTAAACTGCAAAGACTGAACCTTTGGTTTGCTGTAATAGGGTTTTTTTCATGAACTCAGCTCATGAGGACATATGGCACCAACTACATCACATCCTGGTAGGAAGGGTGATCGACATGAGAAATCAAACCCAGCACCTCTGGTTTGAAACTACACCATGTGCCATTGTTAAAAAATGTCTGTCATTTATGGGTCAGGGAGAGGGCCCTAGCTTAGCCTAAACTGTTTGTGCCCAGCTGACTCCTGGCTGACATCTGTGGTTTCCGCAGGCAGAGGTGTGACAGATATTAATGATGAATGACCTTACATGGAAAATGTTAAAAACCTTAGAAGTTGAACAAACTCATACCACAGCATAAATTTTTGTCATTTTCATATGTGACAGCTGTAAGTCATTTTTTGTTTGTTTGTTTAGCTTTTTGTTTATTTAGCTTTTAGGGTCTCAAGCATTTTACATTTAAGGTAATTTATCATTAATATCTGTCATGCCTCTCGCCGTGGAAACCACAGATGTCAGCCAGGAATCAGCCAGGCCCCAGTCCTGCAGCTTTTCGCACACTGCCTGGGCACAAACAGTTTGGGCTAAGCTAGAGCCCTCTCCCCTACCTGTAAATGACAGGTGAACTTTTTGAACAAGTGCACATGGGCTAGTGTAAGCCAGAGGTACTGGGCTTGATTTACCCGTTATTTATTCTGTGCATTATACATGTTTTGTACAATACACAGAATCTTTCATCCAAATGCTACAAGTGGACTTCAAAATATGAGATTTTTCACAGCAGATGCAGCACCAGAAGGAAAGAAAAAGCTGCCAAGCTGAATACATTTCAAGGATCAACATTTTTATTCCCTATGTCTGGATGGTGAATATAGGCTGCAATCATTCTACATGGTAAGATCATGTAGGGAAAATGTGAGGTCAAGCTAACCTGAAGTTTAAAATTAAAGAACAGTGTGGCACTGCATTCCTATGCAAAGTTTGGTGCAGACAACAGTATATTTGGTGATGCAGAGGTTATCAGCAATCATGCTTTGCATGTCATAAGCAAATGTCCCAGTTCATGAGCTGATGTTAGGAGTGATTGGTGTCATATGACCAAAAGTTGATTTAACTTAAACATGCCTATTTGGTATTATGATTATTTGAGTTTTATAATTATCATTATCATGATGTTAGGGGTGATTGTTATTTAAGCTGATATAAATGTGTCACCTATGAAAACTGATGTCAAGATGAAAAAGCCAGCCATGACAATCACTGCATATATGCTGTTTAATAAGTATAACTATCAAATAGTAGAGAGCTACACACAGGTTTAGAACCTCAAATTTGTGTGAAACACAGGAGGCATGCATGTCAATATTGCATGGTAGTGTCCTGCTGCCTGATAAGCCTGTACCAGGAAGATCTTCATCCCTGGAATCTTCCTGACCTTAAATGGACAACATGCTTATCTTGGAAGGGCAGGCAGTAATCATACCAAGCATGCTTCCCTGGATGGGAAGGTTTTGCCAGAATGTCTTGGTATTCCATGGCAGAGCAGCATGACACCCTAGCATTATTTCTCAAACACATCCAGGTGTACACTTCATAGTTTGAGCCACCTGATTGCCAGGATCAGCCTAATTTCTAGAGCTGTTCATGTTATAACACCCACCTTATGACTATCTTAGGTCTTGTTTGACCCAATCATTTGACCTAATCATAGACCCAACTAGATTTGTCCATGCTGTCCCTCATGACTAGACTTGTGCATGGCATGCTTTGTGACTAGATATGACCATGCTCTGCTTTATGACTAGATTTGTCCATACTGTATGTTGCAACTAGATTTGTCCATGTTGTGCTTTGAGACTAGATTTGTTCACACTGTGCTTTGCAACTAGATCTGTCCATGCTGCACTTTGTAACTAGATCTGTCCATGCTGCACTTTGTAACTAGATGTGTCCAGAACTGGTCAGCTCAGCCTGTCATAGGAAGCCTACAATGACACAGTTCAACATAAGTCAATAAATGATCATGAAATATAGCATGCAAAATGTGTTGCTGAAAACTTCACAAACACATGGATACAGAAATTCTTATAGTTGATCAAAAAATTCAATCAAAAGGCTGTCAGGCATTTACACCACAGATGCCCAATGGTCTAACCAGTTAGACCATCTTACATTGCACATAAATCCATGAAACTAGTAATCAAGTTGATGGCCAGGGTATACATTGCTACCTCATATTAAGAAAGAGCATTGTACATCAATCATCATTTTTAAGGCAGAACATATTGTAATGAATCGTACAACAGGTCATCTAAACACTTACCTTGGAACTTAAATAACTACGATAGCGAACATCTGACCGCAAACACGCAGCAACCACGACCCCGGTGTCATTCCATTTCTACGCATGATCACATTACTGTGCATCACGAACGATAAAAATGTATGACGCCAAGGTAGCAAGAATCCAATAAAATTTGTTTCTTATGTATCCAATCAGTCTTCTGCACTGTTTGTAAATTGGTCAACATGGTGGGGAATATGATGTTTTTGGGTGGGAATGAAAAGCAAAATGAGAATATGGCAGCTAAACAAAACTTCTTAATACAGTACATACATATGGCAGGGAACATGGATGCCAATCAGACACCAGGTTAAAGAGGATAGGGTGGGGAGTTAGATTAGTTTAGTTTAGGTTAGGTTAGGTTAGGTTAGGTTAGGTTAGGTTAGGTTAGGTTAGGTTAGGTGAGGTTGGGCTAGGCTAGGCTAGGCTAGGTTAGGCTAGGTTAGGTTAGGTTAGGTTAGGTTAGGTTAGGTTAGGTTAGGTTAGGTTAGGTTAGGTTAGGTCAGGTCAGGTCAGGTCAGGTCAGGTCAGGTCAGGTCAGGTCAGGTCAGGCCAGGCCAGGCCAGGCCAGGCCAGGTCAGGTCAGGTTAGGTCAGGCTAGGTTATGTTAGGCTAGTTTGGGCTATGTTCTGTACTATCTTGGCCTGCCCATTCCATAAGAGTACCTAGACGTGACAAGAAATGTCTTTTAGGATATTATTACTGTTACCCTGGCCCCATACATTTTTTACGGTTCTTAATAGGCAGAAACATTGTAATTACACAACGACAAGGCAGAAACGGCACTGGGGAGTCGAGGCGGTGGGGTGCATGCGGTGCTTGGGAGCTCCCTATCATAGTTATCAAAATTTGAAGGTAAGAGCATGATTCAACCTGTTTTGAGATTATTTATGATATGTTCCACCTTAAACACAACAAATGGTGTACAATGATTTTTGCTTATGTTAGGTAGCAAAGTATACCTACACCAACTCTAATGCCTTGGATTCCACTTGTGCTAAGAGAACATTACTGATAAAGAACATGAATGTGAACATATTGGTGGCCATCTCTTCCCCAAGCTGTCATCCATATAGACAACATGCAGTACCTAGTTAAGCATCATGCTCAAAAGGCAAAAACAGGGAATGCAATTTTAGATATACAACTACATACCTGAGATGCTGTTTTTCCTCAAGTGACATGGAGGATGTAAACAAGGAAGCAACTTTTGGCAAAGTTGCATTGATGGTGACAGCTTCTGAGGCACACAGCAGTGGACCAGCCAACAGCAGAAAAACAAGCCCTGCATGGCTATATCTTGTGATTGGGACCAGGACACATGATCCCATACTGAAAAGCATCTGTTATGGCTATGCCATTTTTCAAATGGCCAAATTCTAACTATAGATTTGAGCTTAGCCGTCGTCACTCTTGAAAGTGAAGGAACTCAAAATAGATGACACAAAAACAACTCATCGATCTGATTTTTTTATGTGACCGTTGCCCCGCATCAACGGTACACAACCCCTCCCTCCACACGGACGCCAAAATAAACGGCACTACTCTTCTGCGTCCAACACAGCAACAATCACATTGCTGCCAGAACGCAGAAATGCTTCGAAGCAGAAAGCAGAAACCTTATGCACTTTGAGTGATTTCCACTACAATGATACGACACCGTGTACGTTCCACTGTAATCTAACCAATGAAATAAACGAATATGTGAAGGAGAGCTTCTCTACCTTATTCTACCGTACCCAACTTGCTTACATTAGATGTAGTCAAGGTAATGAGACATTTGTGAGCGTTGTCGGGCATTTAATGCGCAGCTGATTCGATGACTACGTCATAGGAAACGTCATATCGAACCTCTACGTCATATCGAAACGGCAGAGCTCCGTCCATAAACGCCACCGAATACCCCTAGGTCAGTTGATCTCGTTGAGCCAAAAATGTCTTTGAAAGCGTATGAATAAACCATACTAACTATTCAGATATCCATAGCGGTAATCAGGCGGTTACTCAAAACCTTGCTTGAGTGTTTATTTTGAAAAGCTTTGAGAAACTCCACTGATTGTCGTGAATCATTTTCTCCACTGCCGACCTTTAAAATTATCGGCGTAAGTGGCCATTTCTCGGGGATTTCAGAGCACGGCCTTACGCTGTTACTCTCATCAGCTTTCCAGTACTATACGGTCGTTGTCAAAAACCTTGGCCGATGCGCTCTGGTCGGTTAGGTCATAGGTACAATGTGGAGGAGCAGGATGTAGCTTTCAGATTAGTTAAGGTCGGTGGATCCTACCTCCAACTTTGAAAAAGTGGGTCAAATTGGAGACAATTTTCCTGTCGGCGTATTCCGGGCCAAGGATTAGCAATCAACAATTTTTTTAGGAGGGCAAATGCGCTCCTGAGGAACAGACTTTAGCGTAGGTGATGCATATTTCGGCGTCCCCGGATGGTTTGTATTCTAAACCACGTTTGCTGTACAGGCCTCCCACATGACGCCTATATACGGTGTAAGGGGCCTGCCAGCTGTCCCGTAAACGCATGCGTGCCAACAGGGCGCACGAGAGGAAATTGAGGGATGCATTTTTGATGCAGCCTGTGGAATACAGACGGATAATTTTAAGGCGAATTAGAACAAGAGGTTTATCCAGACTGATCATCAGACGTGACATCTGTAGGACGCGCCCATCGGGTGACTGTGCACGTAATGCCCCGTCCACTTAGTACTATATTTCTGCGCAATACGCAATTACCACCTTGTTGCGTATATTTTTTTAAATGATGCTATCAACGTTTTTTGTTGCATATGATTCTCAATTTCATGATAGGAACTAGCCAGTAAGTATGCCATGCGACTCAGAAAATTCTGAGCAATTCAGCAGTGTAACAAGTGACCAGTGTGTGGTCTTCCGCGTTGTTTACGGCCGTTGTCAGCGAGGTTGGAGGTAGCCATTTTGTGCCCGTTCGTGTTTGCTGGCCTGTAGCCGTTTTGCTGATGTGAGTGCCCAGTGTATTAGTCCATTGTTCATCATCCATGGTTAGATCGAGTGTGGTTTATTATCCTGAAGTGTACGTGTTCCTTTTGTTACGCCCCACCGCGATCTTGTCTGTTATTTTGCGCCTGGTCCGGCAGTACCATGAACTGCGCAGTTGCGGGATTGTTCCGCGCAGAGTTCGTCCGAGTTGGTCGTGGAGCATGTGATTAGTCACGAAGCGTGCATTTTTTGTTACCTTATCATTGTCAGGTAATGCACATATTAAATTTGGGGGGGGTTTGGAGGTAATTTAAAGGGCTCTCGCGGGCCTTTTATCATAGGGCTGACAGGCATCGGGCACCAAGAGGTTCTGGCACATACGAGTAACATCATCAGATACCTGTTGAAGCTATGGATTGCATACTGACTCACTTCAGAGTGGTTAAAAAATAAAATATTGTGGGGGGCATAGCAAAAGTAAGGTTTTGGTTGAGGTTTTGGTAAGGGTATGGTTGGTTGAGTTCTTCACTTTCCTGCCAAGGTTTAAGTAAAAAAGGTGTGTTTCCTGTGGAACTTAGCATAGTGCTTCATAAGCCAATTCTTATAATCAATTAATGGCTTGATGGAACACATACTAAGATATTAAAGGAAGCATGACCTTGATACAAGAATCATGTGCTTTAATTGTGTATACTTAAGGCCAGGATAAACCTGGTCTTCTCATTTCACTGGAAGCTGTACCATCATAACTATGTGAAATTGCTCAGCCTACCTTACACATGCTAGAGTGCTTTTACTAACTTGGGTAATCTGCTCTTTCAGTGAGAGATATCTGCAAGTTTCAGAGCTTCTTTGCTGCTGTCTGTTGCTGCTGGTATAGAAGACAGGAGGCCGTAACGTGTGGAGGTTGTTTTCTGTTGTATCTGAAGTTTATTTGGAAAAAAACAAACATGTGAGTATTTTGCCAACTGTAGGTATAGCAGCCTCTTGTTGAACCTGTTTACTATTTTAATTTTTCAGAAAAGCCAATTCTGCATGTGATAAATCCACGCACAATCCCAAAAAACTCACATTTCTTCATGTGTTTACCTTTCAAAAGCAGCAGTTGTGAAATGACTCAGGCAGCATTTGTCAAATTGCATTCATTTTGTCTATGTGTGTCTATATTGTCTATATTGTCTGTGTTTGTGTAATGTGTGTTTAGCACTCCTACATTTACTGCCTGTTAATGTTTATTTTCTGACACTCTTGTTTACTTTCTAGAGAATTCATTTTGTTATTGTTATGCCTGCCATGGTGGGTGCATTCAGTTGGATAATTTGTCATCAAGTTTTTGGTATTCCAATTCACAATGTCATCCAGCACCAAGTAACTAAGATCTCTTGCATCAACTTCAGGGATTAGGTTAAAGGTCATGACATTATCATAACATATGTAGATGGTGCATTATTTGTAAATATATATGCATGCAGATGTTTCTTCATTTCTTAGTTGGGACTTAAAAACATATTTGTGGGTATATGTATGTTTCTAGAAGTCCATGCTAGGTTTTTATGTTCAAACCATTGCACTACTAGTATCACATTAACTTTGTCAGTCATGGGAAGAGGAAAACATAGATGCTGACTTATACCAGACCTGCACTCTCAAGGCAGATCTTCCATGATGCTAGTGCTGCATGTTGGGCCCAGTACAAAGTTTATTATCTCACAGCCATCTCTTGATGTACATTGCCACTGTGCTGCAAGCATTCTTCACTTGGCAGAAAACTCAAGTCTTTGCTTGACACTGTCATGGCCTTGTCTCTACTGCATTCTGTCCATTATCTATTGTTACTGTTGTCCCTATGTCATCCCCAACCCTCTATCCAGCCTCTGCCCATCCATGACACTGTCCTTCCTCTATCCCAGATGCCATTTCTGGCTGTCCATGCCAGCAGCCATTTTTGCTGTTTACATGTGCCTATGCAGGCAGAGATGAATAGCTATGGAGGGATCTAATAATGATCCTCTAGGCTGCCACTATGCTCCTGCTCTGCATGTACCCTCAGCTTGTTCCTGATGTTGTCCTTTGACCTGTCCTTTCTCCCATCCCTTTGCAGATACTTTTGCCCATACCATCATGTACCTTTGCCCACACTCTTGCACTTTCCTTGGCACTTTCTGTGATGCTTGTGGCACAGTGCCCATGGTGCCTGCAGGTTTGGTGGCTTTGGCAGCAGTTTCGGCGGCGGCCGGCCGTCGATGAAAGGCTCCCAGCCAGGCGGTAACCTGCGCCGCCCTGATTGGACCCAGATCAAGCTGACACCCATTCAAAAAGACTTCTACCAGCCACTGCCACATGTGGTGGCGCGCGGCCAGTCGGAGGTGGAGGCCTACCGGCAGCGCAGCGAGATCACCGTGCGCGGCTCAACGGTGCCAGCGCCACTCATCGAGTTCCACGACCTGGCCATGCCCGACTACATTCTGAACACAATCAGGTGGGATGGTTGTTGACGCCCTGTTCCAGGGGCTGCTTGATTCACCACAGGCAGAAGAGAGGCAATTCCTGCAGCAGGGTCCATGACTGGGAGGGTGTGGCATGCAGAAGATGGTGATGTTGGCTGAGTTTTCAGGAGTGGGAGTGATCACTTTACTGTAAAGTGAGATAGCGAGGTTAGGTGCCTGCTGCATTGAAATTTTCCTGTCCCCCATTCACCAGGTTTTATGAGTATAACAGGCTGATGAATCATGTTTCATTAAGTGCTAAGCTATCATGAATAATCATGCTGTTCTCTCATAGCTTTAATTGTCTAATGCTTTGTGGTGAAACATATATATGCATTACACATGTTCATTCCCAACAAAGGTGTCTTTCAAAATGCTCCCAGTATGGTTCACAACAATCACAGTGATGTGTCCCAGTTTGCCAGTGGAGCCGTCAACTGCTGCCCTCGCCAGCCGAAGTGCGGCGGGCAGCTGATGCTAACGCACCGAACGGTGCCTGCAGGGCCAATGGTTTCACCACACCCACACCAATCCAGGCCCAGGGCTGGCCAATCGCCCTCTCCGGCAAGGACATGGTGGGCATCGCACAGACCGGCTCTGGCAAGACGCTGGCATACATGCTGCCTGCCATCATTCACATCAACCACCAGGTCAGGGAGCACTGAGGGCCGTCCGGACGAGCAGGGCCCGACCGCCGGCCCAGGCACCGAGGGCAGCCGGGGCAGGCCGCCGGTGTCGACAGGGGGTCGTCGGGGTAGCATTTGGGATGACAAGATCAAATGGGGTTTCATTCTACAAACTTCTACAAACTAAATAAACTTCTGTGTTAATGGAGTTCAAATCACAAGGTGGAACAGCTGCACCTAAAGGTCATGCAGTTCGACGAGGCTCATGTTCACCTGTTGATTGAGGGCATCGTACTATACAACTGGAATGATTGATTCACACTCGCAGTTAGCGTGCACTGGCGGCGGGCCCGACTTGGGCTGGCAGCGCTGACGATGTTAGCAGTTGCAGTTCATGCATCGCAAAATAGCGCAACTCGGCTGATCCCATCCCGTCTGCGGCAGGACTACTTGCGTCCGGGCGACGGGCCGGTGGCGCTGGTGCTGGCGCCCACCCGCGAGCTGGCCCAGCAGATCTCCGAGGTGGCCAGCGAGTTCGGCCGCAGCTCCAAGCTGCGCCACACCTGCGTTTACGGCGGCGCGCCCAAGGGCGGCCAGGTGAGCTTCGGCGGCCGGCCGGTCGGCGGCCTGCAGCGCGCGCGACACAAGGGTCTGCGGACTGGGCGGCTGCTGGTGTGTGCTCGACGCTCAAGTGAGGGTGGGAGGGGGGCGGGGCGACGAGTTGTCCAGTGCGTGGTTGACGGGCATTCGACGTTGTACGGTGCAGTATTGTCGCGTACCGTTTCCCAAATGGCCCGAGCGCGAGTGCGTGTAGATTCCGTCGGCTGTGCCGCCGGTGGCCACTGCCGCGCCGGCCCGTCCGGTCACCGGTGGCCCGGCCGGCGGCCGTGCCGCGTCGCTCCGGCTCTGACCAGGCGTCGTGCCGTGCCGGCCGGCGCAGCTGCGTGACCTGGAGCGCGGCGTCGAGATCGTGATCGCCACGGTCCATGTTGCGCCGGCTGACCGGTGACCAGTGACCGGTGTGCGGCAGCTGCGTGACCTGGAGCGCGGCGTCGAGATCGTGATCGCCACGGTCCGTGTTGCGCCGGCTGACCGGTGACCTGGTGACCGGTGTGCGGCAGCTGCGTGACCTGGAGCGCGGCGTCGAGATCGTGATCGCCACGGTCCGTGTTGCGCCGGCTGACCGGTGACCGGTGACCGGTGTGCGGCAGCTGCGTGACCTGGAGCGCGGCGTCGAGATCGTGATCGCCACGGTCCGTGTTGCGCCGGCTGACCGGTGACCGGTGACCGGTGTGCGGCAGCTGCGTGACCTGGAGCGCGGCGTCGAGATCGTGATCGCCACGCCCGGCCGGCTGATCGACTTCCTGGAGATGGGCAAGACCAACCTGCGGCGCACCACCTACCTGGTGCTGGACGAGGCCGACCGCATGCTCGACATGGGCTTCGAGCCGCAGATCCGCAAGATCGTGGAGCAGATCCGGCCCGACCGGCAGACGCTCATGTGGAGCGCCACCTGGCCCAAGGAGGTGAGCTGGCGCCAAGGTGGGACTCACTGCCCCCCTGGGGGTCTCGCAGTGCGAATTCAGCGTGGGCCGTGTCGTGGTGGATGCGAATGGAGACACGCGCATGATCCGAAGCCGGGACCCTGGCCCTTCTGCCGTTCTTCGATGACGGGCTACAGGTCCCTTGGAATTCACATGTGGGTACTGGCGTGCCAGAGTTCCGTTTGTCGGTGTGTCGTGACTGGCGCCTCCCTGCAGGTTCGTCGCCTGGCGGAAGAGTTCCTGGTGGACTACACCCAGCTGAACGTGGGCTCGCTCGACCTGGCGGCCAACCACAACATCCTGCAGATTGTGGACGTCTGCGAGAGTCATGAAAAGTTCCAGAAGTGAGTGGGCACCGTCGCAAGCGGCGGGATCCGGACACGCACTGACTCCGCCGGGCGGAGAAGCGGTAACACGCGCGCGTAGAGGGTGTCAAGAAGGTAGCTGGCATTACCTACGACGCTCGCGACATCCGCTACATACATTGCACATTCATGCTGTCACATTCTGTTGGGAGGTTGAACATTGTTGGAGGCCGTGGTTCGTCTGTACGTTGTGATTGACGTTTTGTTCAGCATGCATGTAACAGTGTGTAACACACGTCGGGGGAGAAAAGGGTGGCTGGCAGCGAACGTGGTTAAGGTAACAGCCGCCTGACGTTTGATGCAACATGTGTGTAGCAGCGTGTAACACGTTTCGGAGGAGAAGGGGTGAAGGGCAGCGAACGTGGTTCAAATAACAGTCGCCGTCGTATCCGCGTATGGTATCTACCCGTGTCGCCGCCGTCGCCACTCCAGCCTCTCCGCCCATCCGCCGGCAGGCTGTTTCGCCTGCTGGAGGAGATCATGGCCGAGAAGGAGAACAAGACCATCATCTTCACGGAGACGAAGCGCGGCTCCGACGAACTGACGCGCCAGATGCGCCGCGAGGGCTGGCCGGGCATGTGCATCCACGGCGACAAGTCGCAGCAGGAGCGCGACTGGGTGCTGCGCGAGTTCCGCAGCGGCCGCTCCCCCATCCTGGTGGCCACCGACGTGGCCGCGCGCGGCCTGGGTAAGTGCGCACGGCCGGCCGGGCGCGGCGACGACGGCGGCCTCGGCACAGCGGCTGCCTAACGGCCGGGTGTTGATGCAGTCGGACCGCTGGCGCCGGCGCGCCCCGGGCGGTCGTCCGTCGTCGGAGGTCGAACAGGAGAGGCGGCGGCGCCCCAGCCGCGGTAGGTCGGGCTGGCTGGCGGTCGGGTGGGGGTCTGGTCTCGAGCCGGCTGGGGTATGGGTCGGGACGGATCGGAACCGGATCAGGACCGGATCAGAACCGGATCGGAACCGAGTCAGGACCGGATCGGAACCGAATCAGACCGGATCAGACCGGGTCTGTGCAAGCAGACGGAGCCGGGCGGAGCGGCCGACGGTCAAGCGTCAGGTCGCCTGTCCGCGACCGGAGCTCGGCGGCCGGCGGCGCTCAGCAGCCGGTCTCGAGCCGGAGTTGGCGGTGGCCGAACAGACGGCCGGCGCCGTGTGCAGAGTCGGCGCGGCGAGCTCGAGTCGGCGGGCTGTGAGCAGCCCGGCCTGGACACGAGGAGATCCCGCACCGGGCGCCGGTGCGCGGACCGGGCTCGGCAGCAGGCGCCGCAGCCCGGAGAGCCGGGCCCCAGACGCGGCTCGAGCCGGCCCGCAGAGACATGGGCAAGCCGAGAGCCGCCACGGAGCGCGCTGGGCTCGCAGAGAAGACCGGCCGGCTGCCGGCGGCGGCCGGCGCGGGGGAGGGGAGGCGGACCGGCCTGGCCGGGGAGACGCGCCACTGCGCGGCGGACAAGGAGACCGGACGCAGTCGCACGGCAGGGCACGGCACGGCCGAGAGCCGGCGGCGGACGCCGCGCGCGCCACCAGCGTAGCCGACACGTCACGGGCAAACAGCTGCAACCACACCGGTGATATGTGTGTGCCGGAGCGTCGGCGGCGGGCGGGACGGGGTGGCGACGCCGGCTCGGCCGCCCCCGCCCGGCCCCGGCCGCCGCGGCGCCGGGCCGCCGGCCAGCGCGGCGGCCCGCGCCTTGCCTCGGTTGCAGTCGTGACGAGCGTGCGGCGCGCGCGCCCGCCCACCGTGTGTCTGTGTGACTGTGTGCTGCGCGTGTCTCCTTGTGGACGGCTGGCCGGGCCGGGCTCGGCGCGGCCCACCGGCCGGCTGGCCGCAGCCGCCAGTAACGAGCGCGCCTTCTCTGGCCCGGTCTGTTTGCAGCTGAGGCAGGCGGGGCGCGGCGCGCGGAGGACGGCCGCCGGCGGCGCCCGCCACCCACCGGCTGAGCGCCAGCTGACGCGGTGAGTGACGCTCCGGCCGGCCGGCCCCGGTCGGCCGGCCGGTCGCCGGACTGCCGCACGCGAGACAGCCGCCGCCCAGCTCCCCCTCTCCCCTTTCCTCCGCACCCCCCGGTGTGTAACGTGTGTTCCCCGCTCCGGTGGCCCCCTGTTAACCCGCATACCGTGCGCAGACGTGACCGACATCAAGTTCGTCATCAACTTCGACTACCCGAACAACTCGGAGGACTACATCCACCGGATCGGGCGCACGGCTCGCAGCCACAACACCGGCACGGCCTACACGTTCTTCACGCCCGAGAACGCACCCAAGGCGCGCGACCTGATCGCCGTGCTGCGCGAGGCCAACCAGGTGGTGAACCCCAAGCTGGTGGAGCTGCAGAGCTCGTCCCGCGGCTACGGCGGCAGAAGTGAGTAGTGTGCGGCTCGGCTCCACAGTAGGCCCTGAGGCGGCCTGGTCTGGTCTGGACTGGGTGCCACGTCGAGTGTTACTTGTGGGATGTTGTAAAGCCGAGACGGTCGTTTGGGCTACATGTCACGGGTGGTACTCTGGGCTGGGTGGAATTCAATTCCTTGCTCGTGCGAAACCTTCAATTTTCGTCTGCTAGGCCATTTGATGTATAGCGCGCTGCAGACTGCTAGCTATCGCATACAAGATACTTCATACCAAAACTGCATTTTCTCTGCCTTTTGTGGACCGCGCGCATCTGCGGTCACCAACGGCCGGCCGTCTGTTGACGCCGGCGCCGGCCAGGCCCAGACTGAGCCTGACTAACCTCCGGCCGTGTGCGGCAGGCCGGTACGGCGGCGGCCGCGGCTTCGGCGGCGGTGGCGGCCGCCGCTCGGGAGGCGCGTACGGCGGTGGCGGCCGTTGGTAGGCCGGCTCGACAGCGATCCCCGACCCCGGCAGAGGTAGCACCGCCTGCCGCCTAGCAGCGACGTGAACCGGCCGCGGCTGCCGCCGCACTACAAGGATTCCGTACGGAGGCGGTGCTTTCGGCGGAGCATTGGTTTCGGTGTTGTTGGTTTTTTTTGCACGCCACCGCACGGCGTGTTTTGGTCCCTCTGCCGGTTGAAACGCAGCCTGCGAAAACCGGTGGCGTGTTTGTTTAGTTAAGCCGAGGTGGCACCGCGCGAAGGCTGACGCCATGTTCATGTATAGTAGCCGGCCGTGCGAGGATCTCTGGAGGTTCAGGGCGCCGTCTCTGTATTGACGTGGTGCCTCTGTCTGGATCTCGCGCTGCCTGTCCTCCGGTCTCCCGCGTACCCTTTCGTTCTAGTGTAGTGTGTTCCCAGCCCGCTGTGGGCACCACGTGGGCGTCTTGTAAATAGCCTGCGTAGGACTGAATTCGCGTCAGCGTGTAGTGGCGGCTAGCGACGGAGTTGTCTGTGGAAGCGTCTGGATCAGCGCTTGGAACGCCGCAGACGGCGGCGAGCGCGGAGAACCCATTCCGTTGGCTTCGTGAGAGACAAGTGTACAAAAAGTTGTGTGGCGAGGCAGGTCGCTCAGAGGAGGTGCGCTGCGGCCGGCGGACGGCGGGCGCGCTGCGCCGTGTGTGGTGCGAGCTGTAGGGTTAGACTGGCAGTGGGGCGCCGCGACACGCGTCGGTCACTAGACGCCGGCGCGGCGGGCACCCGTGACGCGACGGCGCCTGTGTGGGCGGGGCGCGCTGTCAGCCAGCCCTCGCCGCCTGCTCGCTGGCCATCAGGAGCGGAGGTGCGTGTGTGTGTGCCGATTGCGCCGTCGCGGCCACCTGGACTCTTCGTGGTGCGCGTATACTTGAGCGCGCGTTCGCTGCTTCATCCCAGCGTATCTTGGGGCACGTTATGCACTACCCGGCGTTGCTACCGCGCGTGGCTGGCGCGTCTCGCGGACGTGAAGCTCCGCTGTCAGCAGGCGATTGCCCTCCTGAGATGGCCAGCGAATCGTGCAGACGGCCGCGGATGCAGTAATAAAACGGACGTTTGACCTTCGTGTCTTCTGCGGAGATGTATGGTGATGGGGCGGGGGGGGGGGGGGGGTGCGGTTTTGGCGACAATGTATCGATGTTAAGGTTTTTGTAAACCACGTGGGCGGCTTCATCGGGAGCCCTTACGGGCGAATTTGGTCCTGCTGGAACGAGCGCGGCGCGGAACCGCCCGAACGGTCAGAGAAGCCTGGCACGCGGGCTGCCATGCCCTCTGCAGTAGCCACGAACGAGGCATGGATCAACGTCTGTCAGCGGATGAAGGACGTCGAACTACGTCTATATTTCCCCCCAAAACTGACCGCCTCGGCCAGAAAACACGAAACGCAGCAAGAATATGCCCTTTGTTTTGAAAAACTGACGAAGGCACTTCCCAGGTGGTGGCAAGGCTGCCGCCCGTACTAAATTTCTGCCCCCGCCCCCCCCCCCCCCCTCACACGCCGTACTTGATGATGCCCACTGGCGCACATTGCCACACTGGCATTACCAAAGCGCTGCGAGGTAGTCAAGGCAGGTACTCCGTAGTTACGCTGACGAAAGACAAGATTATTGTTATGCTTATGAGGTACAGCGCGTGAGAGTGGCCAGATGCCTTGCGAGAAGGGGTGGCTCATATTCAGCCGACCCCGCCCCAGCTTTCAGGGGAGGTCGCCAGCTTCGAAAACGGCGTGGTTGATAGCTCGTTGCCCGAAATAAGGTAACCTGGAATAAGGCTGGTCACCAACACACAGGATTGTATTCCGTCGCCCGCCGACCGCTGCCGCCGGCACAGCATGAGGCCTGCCGGCGGCGGACTCGGGCCCTAAAAGTGCATAAAGCGCTGTTGTGGCGAAAAGTCTGTAGTGTTCACGATTTCATTCCATACTTTCGGTGCCGGCGCAGCAGCGACTTGAGAATTTTGGTCTCTGCACAGTTAAGTACTTTATTAGATTTTTTGAGATTACGTGCCCACACAATATCCTGGTCCGTCATATGTGTTGTACTGCTATGGTGTTCTCATCCTGTTGTCTTGATAAATCACGCCGTGCATCGATAACTTGTCAGATTTGGGGGCGAATCGCGCGTCCGTTAAGTGACGTTCGGTTTAATCATCTAAAGGTTGCTATGAAAGATGATTGTTTACGGATAACCTCCACTGAATGACGTTTGGTGAAGAACGTCTAGGGACATGGATGGGGGGGGGGGGGGAATTGATCCCTAAGCTTTCACGCCATCAACGCTAACTATTCGTTACTGCCATTTGTAGTCATGACATTTTATGTAAATATAAATTTTAAAAAATGTATGTTGGACGTAATATTATCAATAGCCACGCTGCCGATAGTTTCCAATACAATTTTGGACGAGTCTGCTCACTAAATAGGGGAGCCCCACTGTGGTCATTACGGAATAGTGCCGATATGTTCATGCAATGCCTAGCAACGTTTGGTTCAGCGTAGAGACAGTGAACTGCCTGTTCACTTTCTGAACGACTAAGGTAGCTATGAATGAGAGGATTTTCATTCCCCCTATTGTTCTGAGGGCTATTTGGCGATATACTACTTCTGCGTCAATATTGAAATCGAGCCTGGCCCCGAGGCCACATCACAAGGACTGTCACTCGCCCAGGGCCTTGGGCACTCGCATGTCATCCTGTCTGGTGAAGGACGAGGCTGCCCAATTCTGTTATCGCTTTGCATGTTTCAAGGGGGGGGGGCTGACTTATTGATATGTTTATCAATTAAGGGGTTCTGATACCGGCTTTACAATAATTGTCACCCGCGCGTTACTAGGCCTCACGACGAGTCAGACGATCAATTTTGTCAGAACATTGCACGCGCAATGGAAAATTCACTGTACACTGACCTCTTAAACATTTTAAATGATCAGTGGACGATGCCGATGGATCAGACGTGGCATGATCTGTTACCTGGATTTTAGCACGGCAGAGTCGAGTGCTTGGGCGCATCATGGATCTGCGGTGTTTTTGCCTTAAATCTTGATACGACGCTCTACAAACCATGGACTGCGATGACGCACCCCAGGGTCCTACTGGAACGTACCAGACGACGTGAGACATAACGCGCGGTGGTCAGGTTCATGTTTATATGTTCAAGTACCTCTCCCACATAGTTCAGATACTGCGTACAGCTTGATGCGACCGTGAGTTTTCCACGAGCGCAATCGAATGATTTTTGTCACGACGGGCTAAATGCGCCACAGCTGCTTTACGTGATGACCCCTCGCAGGCAGCGACGGAGGAAGTCCGATGCGGTACATAGGCAGAGAGTAGCAGTAGCACGTGCAGGATACCGTTGATGGGTTCGCAACTCGCAGAACGTGAGATTTGCTTCTCAGCTGCCTTCCCGCGACCCTCAGAAGGTAGAAATCGGAAAAGGGCGTCGACTGTCGGAAAATTTATGGATTTTTTCGGCGGTGGATTGGCTGCGGCCACGTAAGGAGTTTGGCTACGATGACCAGGAGTTACTGACCCTCAGCGCCATCAGTGAATTCGGTCATTTAGGGTGGCGTTGTTAGAATCATTTCAGGAGGCAGGCGACTGCAGAAGGCGAGGTTCGCACGTATGAGGCGGTGGGTGATTGCGGCGTGCCGATGAGGGATTCCGCAGACTAAAGATCATGAACCGATGAAGGATGCCGGCGTGCCGACGAGAACTTCCGGTGACTGTTATGAACCGATGAAGGATCAGACTGGGCTAAGTGGGGGTGCCGCGGTGAGCCTTACACCATGTGGTCACTATTTGCTGGGGATAAATGCCGAGGTGTATGTGGTGTATGGCTGCACGGTTCCGCTAAAAATTGAGGGGGTCTGATCGCTACTCATAATGTGCAGACTGTGTGTAGCGACCCCATTGTAGGCATCCCTTTAATATGGCCGATGACAAGCATGCATGAAATATTGTGAATGCATGAATGCAAATCGCGTAATCCCAGTAAAGAGACGTTTGCTGCCCATGTTAGAGTGAAGGCATCTGCATCGGGAAATCTCATACATTGGCGGCGGGCGAACGTTTTCTCCGACATTTGCAAACACTCCCAGTTAGTTTATGACGGCGACTTGCCTCAACGATAATTACCTGTGAATCAACGCAGTGGCCAATTACCCAACAATCATCCCTAACGATGCCATGTGGGATTAATCCAATAAAATATAATATTATCTTCAAGGATCTTTCTTTTGTGAGGTATTGTCCCGACGAGATAGCCCTATTACCTTGCTGATAAATATTTCCAAACACATTAAAAACATCATGCATTAGACAACTTAATGTGCGAGTACGTAACTTGATGAAAGCATGCAGGAACTTCATGTGAATAATTGAGTCGGTCACGATGCTTGGGGCTTTCTCGCAGGCTGTGCTTTGGGAATGTCGTGATTGCCGTTTTGTGTCGGTGAGGAATCCCTCGAGCGATCATGATCGCCAGCAGAAGGAATATCGGCAAGAGTTAGAGTCAAGGCAAGAGAGTTGAAAAGACGACCAAAACGAAGCAAGCGATGTAACTTGAAGTGGTGAAATTCCGCGCGTAACATAGTTGCGGTCAGTATGATAGCATTATGTTGGCTTATATGCCGCCTAAGAGTTAAGCAAGAAATCATGAAAAATCTAAACCTAACTCGACAAAAAATCGCGCGTAACATGATAGTGGCCAGTATGAGGGATGCCGCGTTAGATTTAAGCAAGAGAAAGTTCAAGAATCTAGGTGAAAACTGCACATAACAATAAAAGCTGGTATTATCACGGATCCTCTAGGGCTTATGCCTTCTGTGCTCTGTATTCAGAATGGGTCATGCGACGGCGGCAAATGGCATTCTGCAACGAAAATACAATCAAGCGGCGCGCACGATGTGCGTCACTTCAGGCGCGGCCCGAATGCGCGACTCCTATGTCTCACTCTTAGAAAACATCACCGGTGCGATAATGCGGAAAGTCCTTCCATCAGCAGCATCTTATTGCTGACCACATCCGCGCTCACACCTGTGAAAACCGCTCTGCTGTGCCGTGCGCGGCTTGGTACTCAGACACACTCAAGTCCTGAACGCTCTCTTCCGTACATGGGGCGAGTGGCAAGCCGTTCCCTTGCACCACGGATCTTTCAACCACCAGGATGACCTTGAGTATCACGTCCGGACGCACGCTGATTTCTGTGTCGTTCTTTTGTGGTGTATGCAGCAGATCGGTCAGCAATCGCAGTAATATGGGTAGACGCGCTCGAATGTACTCCGGTGAGAAGCCGTGCAGTTTTTGAGTAACAGTAACAGTTTTTAACGGCTTTTGAGTAACAGCAACAGCTCGTAACAGTTTACCTGTGATAGCTGTTGCACGTTCTTTAATCAACAACGTGGTCAGAATATTCATACTTTGAAACACACAGGTGATGCTCCGTTTTGTTGTAACATCCGGGGCAAGTTTTTCAGTGGCTAAACACGTGCTCGGGTGGGGGTCAAATTGCCCGCCCCCGGATGTTTTCCGTCATGATTTCCGAACGGCATGGCTTAGCCGCGCCAAACTTTGCATAACTGTAGACAATTGAATAGCGGGTTGTTTGATATAAAAATTAGATGTATCTTGGGAGGTCGCTGACCTATGGCAGGTCAAAATCGGGCAATGGTTCCAGCAAAGTCAGCGTCTAGGAAACTGTTCAATTTGAAGCAACAACAGAATGTTAGACGGAGTCATACACATCTGAGATGCTTTCTTAGGCAACACAAATACTGAATGAGCAAATTACATTAACCTAAGGTCAGGTATGAATGTCAGACCAAAGTCAAAACCAGCCTGTTTTATTACTCGGGGGCTTGCTGTATGGGATAGTTCTGGGGGTCATTTCTAATTTATTGAGAAAAAACTGCATTATACATTTTCCATGGACTTCTTAGACATTTCAATAGGTCATCGATCTAAAATGACCCAAGTCAACAATTTTTTTCAGGAACATATTGCCTAGCGTAATCTTTGTCGCTTATTCAAACGCAACACTTAAAGCAGTCTTGTATGACTGTG